CCTCCGCCTGCGTACGCCGATTTAATGAGCTCTAATTTTCATGAAGGGCGAATACATACAGGTGACGGCTCTTGCCTGAGGTACGGATACAGCTCCCTGTCCCAGGACAAGGATTGCGAGGATGGCAGTAGAGAACAATTTATAAAGCATTGTGTGAGTGAGGGAAACTGCCTTCAACTCTCGCCTTTATATACATGTAGATATATATATAGACTGACGACGACAACGACGACCTAATTCCTTGGGCTAAGGTGGGCCGCGCCGCATTTCAATTGGAGCGGGAAACACTTCCGCATTGGTGTGAATTGAATTCTCCATCGAGTTCACTAGTGAATTCGTGCCGTGATCCATGGTCGCCGACGCTGACTGCCAAGGGCTCTATCACACACCGGCGCGCAGACACCGTCGCGGCCAAATTATGTTTATGCCCCATTCCATTCTCATTCTCACCTGCGACACAACTTTTCATCTTTAAGTCTATCGAGGATGCTTGCATACCTACTTAAGTCTTATAGATATTATATTTATAAATTGTAAACCAACTGCGGACCCCAGTTTCAGGTATATATAAAACGGTTGAATCTGCAGGAGTCAGCCTTCCGAGAATAGACAGTGCTCAACATAACAAGTTGGCATCGGTGCCCGTGGGTGTGCCTGGACGGTCGATATAAGGACTGTCACTGCGTTACGTGGCCCGGAGACTCAGGCTGTGCCGAGACGCGGTGGCACATGTCGGCACACCTCGGCACAGAGCTATGCCTCCACCGTCCGCCGGTTGAAAGAAAGGTATGTTATGGTTCAATACATGCCCATTTGTAGGTGTGCCAGGTTGTGCTTGCCATCAGCACTGGACAAGAAAGACGAGGATTGGTGAAGATTTGGCGGCTCAGAAGCCGTCATAGTCAGGTCCACTGGTTATAATTGGTTCAGCCTGAGGGTCGCAAATGATCTATAAATTTATACAGGTCTCATATGGCTCTTAGAAGTAATGGAACACACGAAATAAGAGAATAAGATGAGAAGGGACGGCCAGGGGATGCTTCCGGGGTGTTTCCTCGTCCTTGCCCTTGCACATGGCAGGCACTAGGGCATCAACCCGTCCCGTATTTTTACGGGATTACGGCCCGTAAAAACGGTTATGTCCTTGTACCGTCAGCGAGGCTGGTGCAACCTTGAACGGTGCGGTAACGGTATGGTTTAAGCCGTATACGGGTCCCCGTAACCGGCCGTTTACGCGTAAAAGACGGGTGCGCAAACTCGGCACGAAAATCAGCATGCCGACAATGCCGAGGGGTGCCGAATAACCCGTTCTCGCTGAGACCGAAGGCTACTTACTAATGTGCCTAATCGGGTATCTCGCGCGTTATGGGATTTCAAACTCAGATCGACCGGTCTGTCTATCGACAGGTTTACCTTCATAGACAGACATATTGGCGTTGGGGATGACAGCCTCAGGTGAGAAGCATCCCACAGTTCCTCTGCTCAGAAATTGGGGGTAAATTGAAGTGCAGGATTTAAATGGGAAGACCTGGTGGCATCTGGTGCTCACCTACTTAATGTATAAGAGTATTTTAGAAGAGGTATGTGAGACGTCCCCGTTTAATTCGGGGCTAGGTCTTAGTACGCAGGTGCAGTTTTTTTTTCTGCTTTATTTGAGTGCAGTGTTGAAAGCTATCACGGTTTTATTGACCTATGTGTGTGTATAAGTCGCTGTGGAATTTGGCATGGCAGAGATAGTAGATGAGATCCTAGAGGGAGAGTCATTTGATGTGTTCCCACATTTTTTTCCCCGTCAAGTGAAGAGGTTAAACTTAAGTACAGAAATAGGTAAGGAAGATCTGGTGGTGCTCGGTGTACACCCACTCAACTTAGAAACATATTCTGCGGGTTATGTGGGAGGTCCTCGTTCAAGTTGGGGTCAGGTCATAGTTTAGTCGGTTGTGTTTTTGCTGCTCCACTTATTAGCACTGTGGTGAATCTGCAAGAATTCTATTTTCCTGTGATTCTTTAGAATCTTTATAGGGATGCTGTCAGATGAGATGTTTACCAACATATGTCTCTGCTCCTCAGAGCTCGTAGTGAATTCGAGTGCAAAATGTAAATAGGAAGACCTGGTGCACACCCACTCAGCTTGACAAAATATGGCAGACCGCTTATGTGGGTGGTTCCTGTTCAATTCGGGGTCAGGTCATATCAAATAAGTCGTAGTTTTTTTGGGGCCTTGCTACTTCACTTGTTAGTCTTCCTGTGAAATTGGTCAAGATTCTAGTGGTTAGAAGCTTTTGATTGGGCATTCAAGACGGCAGCCTCAAGTGAGAAGCATCTTACAGTTCTACTGCTCAGAACTCAGTGGTAACTTGAGGCACAGAATCTAAATAAGAAGACCTGGTGGTGTCTGGTGCATGCCCATTCAAAGTACTACGATAATACCACCATTATGTGGGAGGTCCCCTGTTCGATTCGGGGCCAGGTCATTCCGTGATGTGTGTTTTTTTGTTTTGTTTTACTTTTCTGCTTCGCTTGCTCGCAATGTTGTGAATCTTGAAGGATGACTGTATTTCTTGGTGAGCTTTTGATGGGGCAGTGCAGACGGCAGGCTCAGACAAACAGCCATTTGCCACATCTCAACCAGTTCTCACTCCCCAGAACTTGGTGATAAATTGAGGTGCAGAATGTGAATAGGAAGACCTGGTGGTGTCTGGTGCACACCCACCTAAAGTGCAAAGTTTGCTTAATGGTATATTTATATGGGAGGTCCCTGTTCAATTCGGGGTGAGGTCATAGTTTCCGAGTTGTGTATTTGCCCCTCCACTTGTTAGCACCGTGGGGAATCTGTAAGAATCCGATTTTCCGGTGATTCCTTTAGAACCTTTAGATGGATGCTGTCGGATGAAATATGTACCAACATATTTCTCTGCTCCTCAAAACTCGGTGGTAAATTGAGGTGCAGAACGTGAATAGGAAGACCTGGTGGTGCTTGGTGCACACCCACTCAGCTTAATAAAGGGGAAGATTGGTTGTGTGGGTGGTCCCTGTTCGATTCAGGGTCAGGTCATGTCAAATAAATCATCTTTTTTTTGTTGGTCTTCCCACTTCAGTTGTGAGGCTTCCTGTGAAATTGGTCAAGATCCTAGTGGTTAGGAGCTTTTGATTGGGCATTCAAGATGATAGCCTCAGGTGAGAAACATCTTATTTCTCCTTTGCTCAGAAATCAGTAGTAAATCAAGGTGCAGAATACAAATTGGAAGATCTGGGAGTGTCTGGTGCATGCCCCTTCAAAGTGTGATGCCCGCTACCAAGATTATGTAGGACGTCCTCGTTTGATTCGGGGTCAGGTCATTCAGTGATTATTATTTTTTACTTTTTTTGCTTTTCTGCTTCACTTGCTAGCAATGTTGGGAATCTTCAAGGATGACTGTATTTTCTTGGTGAGCTTTTGATGGGGCAGTGTTATGGCAGCCTAAGGCTCAGACAAGCAGCCATTTGCCACATCTCAACCAGTTCTCACTCCCCAGAACTTGGTGATAAATTGAGGTGCAGAATCTGAATAGGAAGACCTGGTGGTGTCTAGTGCACACCCATCTAAAGTGGGGTGTATGCTTTGTATATTTATGTGGGAGGTCCCCGTTCGATTCGGGGTCAGGTCATGTAATATTTGTGTTTTTTTTTGTCTTTCTGCTTCACAGTACTGTTGTGGAATCTAGCGGGAGGCGAATTGAGGTGCAGTAATTTAACAGAGAAGACCTGGTGGTGTCTGGTGCATACCCACCTAAAGTCCAGTGTTTGCCTTGTATATTTATGTGGGAGGTCCCCCGTTCGATTCGGGGTCAGGTCATATCTAGGAGCTTGATACCTTTTTTTTTTGTGATTTATTTGCCAACACTGGTGTTGTGAATCTTCAAGGATTGTTGTATTTTCTTGGTGCACTTTAATAGGGCAGTGCATATGGCGGGCTCAGACAAGCAGCCATTTGCCACATCTCAACCAGTTCACACTCCCTAGAACTTGGTGATAAATTGAGGTGCAGAATCTAAATAAGAAGACCTGGTGGTGTCTGGTGCACACCCACCTAAAGTAGTGTTTGCCCGAAGGTGTATTTATGTGGGAGGTCCCCGTTCGATTCGGGGTCAGGTCATAAGGTGATTCGTTGGCGATGTGTATCTTTTTGTCTTTCTGCTTCACAGTACTGTTGTGGAATCTAGCGGGAGGTGAATTGAGGTGCAGAATTTAACAGAGAAGACCTGGTGGTGTCTGGTGCACACCCACCTAAAGTGTGATCTGTTTGCCCGAAGGTATATTTATGTGGGAGGTCCCCCTTCAATTCGGGGTCAGGTCATATCTAGAAACTGGATATCTTTTTTTTGTGTGCTTTACTTGCCAGCACTGTTGTGAATCTTCACGGATTATTGTATTTTCTTGGTGAGCTTTTGATGGGGCAGTACATATGGCGGGCTCAGACAAGCAGCCATTTGCCACATCTCAACCAGTTCTCACTCCCCAGAACTTGGTGATAAATTGAGGTGCAGAATGTGAATAGGAAGACCTGGTGGTGTCTGGTGCACACCCACCTAAAGTATAGTGTTTCCGAAGGTATATTTATGTGGGAGGTCCCCGTTCGATTCGAGGTCAGGTCATATGCGATGTGTATTTTTTTGGCTTTTTGCTTCATAGTATGGTTGTGAAATCTAGATTGAGGTGCAGAATTTAACAGAGAAGATCTGGTGTGTTTGGTGCACATGTACACCCACCCAGCTTATATCGTGTTGGGAGAGTTCACTTCGGGGTCAGGTGATAAGTGGTGGTGCCTTTTTTCACTTGACTGCAGTGGATTGCCGACAACTTGAAAACTATCATAATTCTATTGACTCTGTGCATAAATCCCTGTGGGATCTGTAGCATTTCAGAGACCATAGACAAGAGTCTATGGAGACAATTGATGTGTCCCCACATTTTCCTGCTGTAAGGTGAGGTTAAATTTGAGTACAGAGAGAGCTAAGGAAGATCTGGTGGTGCATGGAGCACACCCACTCACCATACCTGACAAACACATCCATAGGTTTGTGTGGGAGGTCCCCGTTCGATTCGGGGTCAGGTCATCACATTCCAGGATGGTTTTTTTTTCTGGCTTCAATTGAGTGCAACTTGAAACTATCACGGTTTTATTGACTTGTGTCAAGTCCTGTGGGATCTTCATTGCATTGCACAGACCGTAGAGAGAGATGTCCTCACAAAGTTTCTGCTGCAGAGTCAGATTAAACTCAAGTACAGAGAGAGGTAAGGAAGATCTGGTGGTGCATGGTGCACACCCATTTACCTTGATTGCAAATTATAAATAGGTTTCTGCGGGAGGTCCCTGTTCGATTCGGGGTCAGGTTGTGTCACTTGTGGTGTCCACTTTTTTTTTCTTTTCTTTGGTGTTTGCTATCTCCTCACATTCTACTTATGTATGTTCTGGCGCCTTGTTCTGTGATTCAATTCCGTCGTCGAGTATATTTCAATTTGAACTGTCACCACAGGTTGCACACTCCACGTGTTTCATCTGACCGGATCAACCCCGCATGAGGAGAGCCGGCTGACCAACGGATTGATCATGTGGATCAGCGTCGCCTGTCGTCGATTCTTTCTTGGAGCGCTCCTGTTTTGTCCGCCATTGCCACCGCCTGCGCCCACGCTCCTTACCCACTGCATGTAACACGTCCTAACCAACCTCACAAACACATAATACACAATGGGTGCGCTGCTCTCTCGCTGTCGTGTACGCCGTTGGACTGACGGACATCGGTTTGCTTAGCTACACTTCCGTGCGTAGGATGGATAGTGTTGCACTGGGACTCGCTGAAGTGTAGGTTACAGTTCTGGAACATCATCTGGCGTCGACCCCGGCTCGACCTCGTCTGCGGTCGGCCCCCCGACCTCCGCAACGTCCTCGACGAGCGATACGAGCGTGTCGACCACCTCCGTAACGACGTCGGACACCACGACCACGACCACGAGCCTCCCGGTCACCAGCAGCAGCTCTTCCATCACCACCAGCGACACCACCACCAGCAGCACCACCACTAGCAGCACCAGCAGCAGCACTACCACGACGAGCACGACGAGTGCTGTGGTGCCGACGACGCTGGCGCCGACGCCGACGCCGACTCCGTCGGTGCATTTATCGACGGGCGCGGGGGGGACGGTGGTGACAGTCACGGAGATCACGCAGTCCACGCAGAGCGCGCCGAGGGCGAGCGCGAGTGGCGCTGTTAGGTCTACGAGTACTGGGTCAGTCCGTGCCCCTGTCCCTTCCTCTGCCTGCTTTCTTTCGCCTTCCCTTGCTCTCTTGCGTCCATCCATTCCTACCCCACCTCCCACCTCCCACCCCCCATCCCCCCATCCCCCGCCCATTTTTTTTGGTGGTTATCCCTTCCGATCTCTTGTTCTTCGTTTCATCCCCCCTGCCATCCTCTTTCATTCCCACCGCCCGTGTACTCGCGTCCTCGTCCGCCTATTCGCATCCCCCATCCCATCTTCCATCCGTCCATCCATCTTCCCTGGATCTATCTATCATTCGCTTGTGTGGGAAGAGAATTCACGTGCTATTTTTGGCGGGGCGGCGGGCTCGAGGCGGGGGAGAGCGCGATAGGCGGGGAAAGGGAAAGGGAGGGTGGGGGGAAGGGAGCAGTGGAGGCGAGTGAGGTAGCAGCAGGCCTCCTTGCGCAGACTGGGTGTTGCATGGCACCCGACGGCGGGCGAGGTTCCCACGCGGGAAAAAATGTCCCCCGCATTCCTCTGTCCCGCACCCTCTCCTCCTTGGCGCTGTCTCCCTCCGTCCCAGCCCCGCCCACGGCCCCGCCTACCCCTTCCTTTTCCTGGTTCCGCCATCCTCCATTTTTACGTCCTCCCTCCATTTTTACATCCTCCCTACCGTATTTTGCGCTTCCTCCCCACTTCCCTTCGTGCGCATCCCGTCGCTCGCTCCCGTCCAGCCCCCAACCTCAACCCCAACCCCATCCCTCTTATGCCTTACTCCTCGCTCGCACCCTTTCCCTTCCCGCTTCCCGCCCCTTCCTTTCACCGTTCCCCGCGGCGCTCGTGCCGACTTCTTCCCTTATCCCCTACTCCTTTCGTCCTGCTCCCTTTCCCCGGCCTCTCCTCCGTCGTCCGTCAACCCTCGACCCCCTTACGCGTCGCGTTTCCATTATCATACTCCACTCGCCCCGTTGTCACACTCCCTTCCCCGCCCTTCCCTCGTCGCGCTCATCCTCCTTCTCCTTCCCCCTCTTCTCGGCGCTGCCTCCCCACCCGCCGCGTCCCCCATCGCGCGTTCTTCTTTCCCCCTCATACCCCCTGGCGTGCTCCCATCCTCCGCCGCCCCTCTCGCGCCGCGCGCGTCCTTCCCCCTTCCCCGCCCTTCTTTACTCCCCTTCCGTCCCTCTTCTCACCCTCCCGCGTTAACTACTCCGTCTTTCCATCCTGCATCTCCCCTCGTCCCCGCCCACTACTCCCCTCCCTCTCGCCATCTTCCTTCTTCGTTTAGCGCCCCTTTGCCCCCGCGACGCACGTTCCTCCTCGTTCTTTCCCCTCCCCGGCGGCTGAACGGTCTCCCGTGCGAGATGCGAGACGCGAGACGCGAGGTGTCGACGACGGGGGCCTCAACCTCCTTCCTTTCGCATTCCCCGCTTCCGCCTCCTCCCTTTCCCTGTGTCCTCCATCCGTCGCCCATCCCCTCCCTCGTTTAACCCCGCTCCCGCCCCCGCTCCCTCCCCGCGTTTCTTGAGCCTACGCTCCCCCCTGTCCCGCCCACTCCGTTCGTCACTTACCCACTTCCTCCCGCTCCCTCCTTTCCCTCGCTCCTCCTCTCTTCTCCTTACTTCATTCTCCCGCTGTGCTTCCCGCCCGCCTCCTCCCGTTCCTCTACGCCCTGCATACATCGCCCGCCCGCCTCCCTCCCCATGTTTGCCCCGCCCACTGCCTTCGTCCCGTACCCACTGCCTTCATCCCGCACCCACTCCCTCTCGCTCGCTCCCTTCCCTACCCTCCTCTCGCTCCTCCTCGTCCCCCCTTCCTCCCCGTCTCCTCCTCCATCTCTCCCGCCCATCTTCTCATTTCCCTCTTTCCTTCATTCCCGCCCGCCTCCGTGTTCTCGCATTCCTATGTGTCCGCCCCCCGTTCCTCTTTTCTCCCACCTCCAGTCTTTCCCCCTCCCTCTTCTCCTTCCCCCTCCCGTCCTTCCACTTCTTATTTCATCCCCCTCGCCCGCTGTCAACCCGTCATTTAACGCCCGTCGTATCCCAACCTCAATGCTAATTCCTCTCCCCCAGGTTCCTCCAAAACAAAGCTGCAATGGGCGCGACGTTCGCGATCGTGGGGCTCGTCGCGGCGGGGATATTGTTTGCGCTGGTTACGAGCGTGATGCGGCGGAGGAGGGTGCGTTTTATTTTTATTGGCTGTTTTTTTTTTGGCGGGAGGATAGGGGAGGATGGTGGGTGCGCGTGTGTGGAGGACGCGGTGGGGCGTAGCACACGAGCGAGACATGTACACGGTGCGGATGCGGGTGTCGTGCTCGTTGATGCGCGGGTCGTGGGCGTCCCGTGGCACGGGACGGCGGCGTGATGGTGACCCGCGCGAACGTAAGGTCCACAATCGTGGATGCGATGCGATTGGTGTCGGAGGCTGGCGATCGGAGGTGGGCGTCCCGCGGTCGACGAGCGTCCTTGAGCGCACCCGTAGTGCGACCGTACGGCGAGGACGGGGGGTCCACACTGCGGTGTATGCGATGCGGCGGTTGGGTTCGTGCGGACCGCACAGATGGGCGGCTCCCTCGCGCACAGTTGCGGGCGAGCGGGGAGTGCATGGCTGGGGCGGGCGGCGCGGTGCGGGTGTGGTGTCCGATGCGGCGCTGCACAGAAGGCGGGTGGTGCGCGGGCGTCGAGCAAGAGTTCGTGCTCGTGCTCCTGCTCATGCGAGCGATGTGTCTTGGCGGCGCAATGCGTGCAATGTGAGCCGCTGCGAGGCGGAAGGGTGCTGCGCGGGGGTACGCCAGTCTGACGCAGCCCCCGCCGGCATGCAATGCGATTTGACGGCGCAATGCGCGCGATGTGGGCCGCTGCGAGGCGGACGGCGTCCAGCGAGGGCGAACGCAGCAGCGTGGTAGTTCGTGCTTGAGCGGAGGGGAAGGGGCATATACCGCGTGGGCGTCCCGCGACCGGGTGGTGCGATGTCTTTCGGGTAATTTTGCGCGCTTATGGTGTCGCCGGCGGATGCGGATGGCCCTAGGCCGTTCCGGTCTATACTCCCGTTCTCCGACTTGCGCGCGAGTGGGAGTCCGCTCTGATTGCGTCCTGATTGACGTCACGTTTCCTCCACTTGTCACGTCCGCTGCCTCTCCTCGTGCTGTCATTCCCGCTTGTATTGCCCTTGCGATGAGCCACTTCCCCCTTCCGTGTTCCCCTACCCTTCAATGAGGCTCCCCTTTCTTCCCCTTGCTTACTCTCTTCGCTACCTTCTCTTATACTGACCCTGTTCTTTCTCAGGCAAGGCGCTTCGACCGCGAAATCGCCGAAGAAGCCAAGCGCGCGCCCGCACCCGTATTCATCGACGACGAAGACTACCCCGGCGATTACCATTCGGACCCGTACGCCGGGCCCACCGCGTACGCCGACCACTCCGACGCGTACACCGGGCCCACCGCGTACAGCGGCGACCACCCTGCGCACACGGATGGCGGGTACCCCGCGTCGGAAGGGCTGAGCAGCGGCGTGCACAGCAACGGCGTGCACAGCAATGGCGTGCACAGCAACCCCGGCGGCGGGGGCACGCCCAGCAACTATATGTACCCCTCGGGGTACTCGGACCTCGGGTTCTCGGACGTGAGCAGCCACGGGACGTACTCGCAGCCGCCGATGGAGGGGCAGTATAACCCAGGGACGTACGCGGCGTACGGCGGGGTGGGCGCGGGTGTGGGCGCGGCGGGCGCGTATGAAATGATGGGGTACCATAACGCACAGCAGCAGCAGCAGCAGCAGCACGGGCAAGAGTGGCACCCCGGGCACCAGCAGCAGGAGTGGGTGGCGCAGGGGTACGTGTACCCCGGGGAGGAGCACAGCGCGGG